CGCCTGCTTTAGGAAGTTTTTTCAATAATATCGGTACGCCGCTAAAGGGACAAGCTCCATTGTTTGTATTCTAAGGCGCCATGACGTCAGTTCCACAGCAAACACAGTTCTGATACATGATCCGTCAAGATTTGGGGTCGTTTGTTGGAGTGAGTTTACAAGCGAATAGCTTCTTCATGGCTACACGGGATGACGTGTTGCTCCGCCTCTTTGCTCCTGTTACCTACCGAGCTGTTTGTGCGTTTTATGGGTCGCGGTTCTGCGGCATTTATCTGCAATGCTATATGCATCTCGGATCATCGCCTCGACGTATCTATGCTCATTATTGATATTCGTGTGATAGACGGATGAAGCACCAACTCCTAGGGTATCGTTCATGACGAGCAAGAGATTGCACTAGCTAATAAAATGACGCCCAATGAAAATAGTGCTGTAGGTAATCAGACACCGCTAAACCGTGTCATGATTATATTTCCACCCTTCGAAGCCAGCGGCAAGAGGTTCAGTGAAATCTGTTATCAGAAGAGTTCTGCTGTCTGACATAACATCTGATTCTCCGACGTGCGAACATATTTTGAATTTTATACGGTAATATATTGGGAGTACAAGTTCCTATGGAGAATTCGCGATGATCAGGAAAGAGCGTTGACTAACAAATTACTGACTGATGAATATAGCACTGCAGATGCTAAAACGCCACAGAACTACGATCTGCTTGAATGCGTCGTAGGCACTAGAGGCACGAGACTATTAATGCGTAAAATCTGCTCTTGAAGAAGATATTCACATAGTGAACAGTAGTACAGTAGGGTTTAGAGTGAAAAGTTACGGGGAACTACTAGTAAAAATAGGAGCAGTGAAGAAATTACAAAGAATCATCGAACAGAGTATAACAAAAGGAAAAGCTTCAAATTGAACGAAAGAAAACATGAACGATAGTGTACACAAAACTAGGTCAACTGTTGCGTTGCATCTCAATACATTCGACGTCTCTGAAAAACCGATTTGATGCTGGGATTAAGTGAATTTGTTTGAGCTCTGTGCTTTAGAACAAAAGTACTTAACCTCGGTCGAATTTATCTGTGACTGATACTGTGGGCGGTTAGCGGGCAGGCAGTACATTTGCAAGTACAGTAGTAGCCACATCTACTATCAGTCACTGTTCTTCGTCAGCATGGTTAATCAGTCATGTAACATGTACAGCGATCATTCTGGAGGCAACACAGCGATCCTTATAGGAAAATAATGTCGCATGCAAGGAGGGTTGAAGAATTATTGTTGAAATATGTGTAGTACGGTAGCATGCTGATAAAGATGAACGTTCTAAGAAACCCATAAGTTGTGCGGATGAGATGATTTCGTCGTGTTTTTCATTACAAGGACATAAGGCACTACATGCAATGGTTTTAGTAGCACTAGGTGCATTTGATGAAAAATATGTGCTCCTGTTCCTTATGGTAGCTTCATATCGTTGTCTCTCAGTTGGGATTCTCTGAGACCCCAGAATTGCCGTATCGTCGACATGTTTTGTATGGCGTGGTGACAGTGAAGCCATGCAGTCATGGGTGTATATTATGATTACTGATTAAGAGTAGCGATAGGGCCGAAAATCCTGAACCCCCACGGTTGTTTTCCGTAGCTGTAGATCTGCTATGGTCGAAACATGATAAAATTTAGCTTAGCGTTTGTGTAGATTGCCATAAATTTTGAAATGAGCGGCTTGCGATGTAGTAGTGCTAATAAACTGTATATTTCTTTCAGGGGCGTGCCTGGTCTACAAGATTCTCAGCACAAGACAGCCGGTACCTGACCCCATGTTATTTATTGTCAATGCTATTTGCTTCACCTTCTGTACCTGTGTTTAGTTGTTCCTGCAACGCAATCTGCTCTTTCGTTGCGTCAGTGAAGGCTCGGTGAAGAAGTTGAAGCGAAGAATACGAAAGAGGTACACAGTAGACATGGCGACGTTGGCAGGCGGAAACGTTATTGTTCGTGTTTGATTTTACCTATCACTCGGAAATCAGCGTTCATTAATTTAGACGTTTTCACAACAAGAATAACCTGTAGCAAAGTAAGTTGGGAGAACTTTCAACCAAAACTGAATGTCAGTAGAGGCATCTAGTACACGGCAGAGTTTCTTATTGGATCCACTGTCCTTTCGGCGCTCAGCTTCAGTGGAGTGCAAAAGATATGAATCAATTCAATTTGATGGTTGAATTCGCGAGGTCAGTAGAGGTAGTCTGTTAATAGATCGGCCTTTAGGACAAAACGGACATCGCCCTTTCATCCCGATGGTCCTATATCATTAATGGTTCCAGTCCTAACGGCTGACAGTGCATGTACAGTTAGAAAATTGATCTGTTAATAAATTGTTTCGAATCACGCAGTGACAGAAACTATAGAATTTGAAAAGATCGTTGTTATCCACCTTTGACACTGATTCTGCAATAACTTAAAGAACAGAATATGTTAATGACTGTCTGAAGTAACATAAACGCAGTAGAATAAAAATATTGCTGCTAAGTCGCGACTTTGTCTAGTCGATAGCGCCAATCGACTCTTCTGTTTCTGTGCCTTGCTTGAATTCACAAAATTCAGCACAATTGAGTAAAGTCGTGGAACTTCTTGATTTCGAGATTGACTGATCAACTTTTGATGA